GCCAGTTCAACCAACTCAGGGCCATGAGTCTAACTCTAGTCATCGCTCGAGTCCAGGATCACCTTGAGAGCATACTCCATCTGACAGTAGTTATGGTCTGCCTTCACTTTTTCAGTCCAGTGCTAGGGCAAGAGAATGTCCTAACCCTAGGGTTAGATCTTGTAGTCAAGGTCAGGTACAGGCGGACCTCACTACCCAAGGTCAAAGGTCTAGTCATCAGCTCGAGTCGTCCATCTCAAGCAAGTGGTGATCCTATCTTGCAGCCCTTCTTGCATGGGCACGTTGTGCAAACTCCGAGTAATGGGTCAACTCAGGCTCAATTTAACCCTGGTGAGTCTATAGGCCGAGAACCGATATACCAAGTTCAACACACTCCTCAGGCTCAGCCCTTAGGGCAACCTGCTACATAGGCCCAACTGCCAGTCTATGCAAGCCATATACTGCAAACTCAGGTTCAACAGACCACGCAACCAAGCTAGGTCACGTTATACCAACAACCCAATTCATCAACATGAAATGCCTCCCAGACTCTTTAGAAAGGTTGAGAATAAGAGATTTCTCAATTCCTAAAGCTTATGTACAAGAAACCCTTGGACACCTAGAAGATCTACCAGTAGGGTTTGTGTTGCCATAATTCAGAAACAAATTTTATGGTGAAGAGGATCCTGAGAGACACATCAACGCTTACCTGTTAAATGGTCCATACACTGCGAGACCTCTGAACCAACGTATGGTCATTTTCTCACATAGCTTATCAGAAGAGCCCCTGATGTGGCACAATAGATGTTTGAAGGATAACCCTCAAACAACTCTTGATGAAATGTTTAGGCAATTTTCCTCCTGCTATCATGGGGGTAGATCAAGGCCCGTCACCCTTGGTGAGTTAACATCCACCAAACAAAAGTTGGGCGAGTCTCCTTCTGACTTTATAACAAGATTCAGAGAGGTAGCTATGCGAGTTGCTGAAACTCCACTCCCTGAATCTGTGAAGGTAGGCATGGCATTAGAGAACATGGCCAGTGAATATGCCCCATTCTTCAACAAGGGGTTGATCCCTTACTCGTTTGATGCTATGCTTGAAAGAGTATCCCGATATGAGCGAGCCAAGTAGGATGAGGACTTAACCTAATGATAGTCGACCCTCCACAAGAAGGAGAAGGGAATGAGGACTTGACTGTTGAGGAACCCTTGCAAGAAGGAGAGTGAACTTGATTGAGAAAAACGACCTTTCTGCAAACCAGCCACGAGAAGAGTCTAAAACTTACTCTACCACATAGATGATGCAGACTTCCACGCCAAGGGAATTCACTCCCATTGACAATCATTTTAACTTGTTATTCCAAGTGAATGCGATGGAAGATGACCCACACACATGGGATGGTGAATTAAACTCTCAAGGGATCCGAGATGAACCCAAGCATAAGCTCGGTCAAGGCTCCAAAACTAGTGATTCCTGGAATCATGGAGACAAAACAAAGAAAAGAAAAAAAAGGGCACCACTGACTCTTCTTCTTAGCATTTTCTTCTTCTTCGAAAATAAAGAAGAAATCCGCCTGGCTGAAAATCCGAAAGGAACCCCAAGCGTTGGAAAAAAGGCTACTGGGTTGAACACCCGAAAGCGACCCCGGGCCGATAAAAAAAAAAAAACAATCTGCTGGGCTGACAATCCAAAAGGAACCCCAAGCATTGGGAAAAAGGCTATCGAGTTGAACACCTGCAAGGGAACCTGGGGCGATAAAAAAAAAAAAAGAAAAGAAAGAAAGAAGGTTACATCTCTTTTCGTCTCTTCTCTAAAGTCTTTTTCTCTAAACATCTTCTCCTCCCTCTTTTGGAGTCAAAATGGAGTCAAAGAAAATCAATGAGAATTAGCTTGATAGAACATGGTTAAAGATCTCGATCATCTGGACTTTGAAAGGTAGGTGGTGGAGGAACAAAATTGGAAATTCAAAGAGATTCTAAGCACTCAGGGGCAGTATCCTATATTTTTCAAGACTCTGTTTTGCTCGAAAATTTTAGAAAACTCTCATTTGAATTGAAATACAAGAGTCGAGGTTGGAAGATAAGGGAACACTTGATGACTCCTCGTCTTGAAGATCCCAGCAAGGACTCGACAAGCTCATGTAAGGGTCCACCAAAGGGGTCACAAGTGGTTAAACTGTAAGACCCACATTTAAAAAATAAAAATTCTTGAAAAGTTCATTTCAAAACTTTTCTTCTAAAAAATGCTCCTTGATGGCACAAGGCTAAATTGCCAACCAATTTCAAATGAAAAACCTTTTCATTCAAAAAAAAAAGTTTAAAAAATGCTCCTTGGTGGCACGAGCCTAAGCTGCCAACCAATTTCAAATGAAAAACCTTTTCATTCAAAAAATAAAAATAAAATAAAAAAATGCTCCTTGGCGGCATGAGCATGAACTGCCAACCAATTTCCAATGACAAGTCATTCAAAAACGTCTAACCTCGTATGACGTTAAAGGTCGGGTGTATTAAGAAAACGTCTAGCCCTGTATAACATAAAAGGTCAAGTGTATCTGTCTAGCTCCCTATGACGTTAAAGTTCAGGTGTATCTGTCTAACTCCCTATGACATTAAAGTTTAGGCGCATTCAGAAAAAGTCTAACACCGTATGACGTAAAAGGTCGGGTGTATCTATCTAACCCCGTATGACATTAAAGGTCAAGTGTATTCAGAAAATATCTAGCCTCGTATGACATAAAAGGTTGGGTCTATCTGTCTAAATTTGTACGATGTAAAACGTCGGGTGTGTCCGTCTAGCCCTGTATGACATAAAGGGTTGGGTTTATCCATCCATCATTGCATGACGTTAAATTGCTTAGAGGGATCTATGGTTGCAAGAGCTAAAATTGCTAACTAAAAATTTGTTTTTCAAAATATCTTTCTCATTTAAAAATTTTCATTATGTCTTGTGATTTCAAAAACCTCAATTTCTTTGTTAAAATTGTGACCTATTCAAGCTCCGGGTTCTATTTCAAATCTCGCCCCATTTTCAAAATTTCTAAAATGTCTTTTAAAGTGAAGGAGTTTGGACACCCATACATGATGTAACCGTGTTGCAGCCTCATCTCTCTTTTCAAATTTGATCGTGAAACATTTTCCAATTAGGAAAAGCTTTTGAAACCCTAGGAAACCCTAAAGAAAATCAAGGACAATGTTAGGTTTAAAGATTTGAAATTGTGAGAACCCATGAAGTTAAGTGGCATGGCCAGAAAATCCAACACGAGTTCCAAGGTTGTGTAACTCATCGGAACATCTCATGCCGAAAACCCTAAGATGAAAATGCCTTAGATGGGTGAGTGGTGAGCGCAATGTCTTGGAGGGAAAGGCTGGTGTGCCCTCTGACTACAAAACATCAAGTGGAATTTAAAATGTTTGCAGTTTCTCCTTCTTTGAAACCCACTTGTCCTTTGAAGGACAGGGAGTGCCAAAGAGGGGCAACTATAGACACCTCATTTTAAAAAAAAAAACAGGTAAATTCCATGATTTTCCTAACCTTAGGCACCCTTAGGACCATACTATTCCATAAGATCCCTGAAATTATAGAACACCGTAGTCCATGGTCCCTATCATGTAATCCAATATCTTGGCATATCTTTTTGTTATTAGAATATATCCATTCCAGCCAATTTGGGCCTTTAAAAATAGGTTTTAGTGAACCATTTTAGGATTAGACCATTAGACCGTGTGTTAGACTTTAGACAGTGTTCCTAGGGAATCCAAAGAGAAACAATGAAACCAAAGAGCAAACCCTAGATCTAGAGAAGCAATCTTGAATCCTTAACCCCCTTTGAAACCAACTTTCGGCCTTAGATCAACAAAACTCTAGTTCAACCAAGCCAAGGCTTGGTCATGTTTGAAGAAATAACAACAAAAGACACACGGTGTAAACACAACCGTGGTTCTGAAACAGGCGAGGCCTCGAAGCCTCGGGTGCCTCAGGCCAACTGGGTTGGGCATGTAACCTTTGCACAATCTCAAGGATTTCTCTGGCCTATCTCTCTAGATGATCTAGAGAGTCTCTAACCTCAAAAGGGTTCCTGTTAAAGGGTACCAGAATGGATATATCCAAATATCACTGGATTTGATAGCTCAGAATGCTATTTAGGGTCAAAATACATGGACGATTCAACGAATCTGCCCAAAAATGGTCTGGGAATGGTCAACATGCAAAAACTGCCATTTTTGGGCTATCGGAGCTGAGAACCAGTGGTGTCGCCCAGACCAAATCCGCTCATAGTTGGCAGATTCCAGTTCTGCGGTGATTTTTGGGCTCTTGAGATGCTGCCTGCCCAAAATCACACAATTTGGGCAAGTCTGGTTGGGCGATACCAGTGGTGTCTCCCGAACTAAATCTGCCCAAATTGGCAGATTTCAGTTCTGGGGTGATTTTCAGGCCCTTGAAATGCTGCCGGCCAAAAATCACGCAATTTGGGCCAATTTGGGCTGGGCGACATCTGGCGCATCTCCCAGACCAAATTTTCCCAGAATTGGCAGATTCCTCTTTCGGGGTGATTTTCAGGCTCCTGAGATGCTGCTTGCCAAAATTCACGCAATTTGGGCGGGGCAACATAACTGGTGTCTCCCAGACCTTCTGGGGTGATTTATGGGCTTACATGATACTGTTTGCCAAAAATCAGGTAAAAATATGCAGTTTTGCTAATTTGACTTGGTTTATTCCAAAAACAGCTAGTCTGCAGTATTCTGGCAGGCAATATGGATTACGGTGGTCTATAGTCTGAGGGTTTACTTGGATAATGTGGTCCTAAGGCTGTCTAGGGCTTAGAAAACCATTGAATTTGTCAGTTTTCAAAATGGGGTGTCTACAAGATTCTATATCCTTTAGGATATATGCTAAAACTTTTCGATTGTTCTAAAATTGGATGAATTCATATTAATACACCCTGAAGTAGTTACGTCCTTTTTCATTATATTAAATATGATTTCATTGAACTTATCATTGTCTAAATCATGTAAATTCATAGGTATAAGGGCCGTCATTGTGAGCGTAATTTGCTCGTGGGAAACATACATGTCCTATTCAACCCAAAACGTGGAGATGTCAAGCTTGGACAGGTAAAACAATTCCTTTCATTGGAATTGAGCTATTTATGTGGTATTTGGGTTTAAATTTTGTGTGGAGGAAATTAACATTCACATTATTGCCTTATGGATTTCAACATTGACTAATTTCTTCTTGTGTGCTGTGATACTAGGTTTAATGGAATGATATCTTAGGTTGCATCTTCTGTAGTTAGAGAACCTGCCATACAGTTTTGATGTCTGATTGGTTGGCGTTCTAGGAGTTTGTACAAATTTGGGAAAGGGGTCGGATTTTTTTTCCTTTTCTGTTGTAAAAGAGGACATAAAAGAGGTGTTTTGCCGATTTATATATATATATATATATATATATATATATATAGCTGAGTCTCTAAACAATAAAAACTTTCACTAGAAGAGGTTTTGATGCCCAAATATCCTCAAATTGATCATCTCGACATCAAGATGCATGGACATAAAAAAAAAATGGATTTAAAGTTTTGGAAATAGTGTATTTTGTAATGCATTTTTGGATTGTTAATTTTCAAGATTTTCAAGTTTTCATAGGTCTGTCAATCTACACTATTTTTGAAGCTTTAAACTTTATAGATAAAGATGAAAATATATTTTAAGGCTATCACAAATATTTCCAGTATTGAAACCACATTTCTCGACACTATTTGAAGGTAGGCTCTAATTTGGTTGTTTAGATCGTAGGCTCTATACAAACTGCACCTATATGTGTGTGTGTGTGTGTGTGTGTGTGTGTGTGTGTGTGTGTGTGACGGCATAAGGGTCTCGTGAACAGGAGTTGCAACCTTGTGTTAACTGCCATTGGGAAAATCAGAAAACTGCATATTTTCCCCTTCCCAAACCCAGCCTAGACTTTAAAGTTTTACCTTCTTGTACTTCTGAGTGATCAAATTGTGTCCTGCACGCAAATATTTTATTCTTCATGTTGGAGAAGATTGCAATCTTTGAAAATAATCTTTTGTGTCAGATGGTGTAACTTGTTAGCTTGGATATGATGTTCATAATCATTCTTCATTTAAATGTCAAAACATCTTTTGAGCCAGAACAGTGAACATAGCTTTATTTGTTCTTAATTGGTCTCCACATCCAAGCAAAGAAGAGTTCTTCTTCAACCAAATATGATATATCTTAAGACTATTTTGCTTAGTTAAAAACTTTATTAGTATTTATGTTGTCTCCAGAAGCATCTTCGCCCGCTAGCAATTGCGCTGGAGAATGTGGCTTCACTGATCCGACCTAGAATAGTCGGAACTCAATCCTGTGATGAACCAAAGCAGAAAATGCTTAATTTGTAATTTAGCATAGTTATTTGGCTTTATAAATGGGAATTTCTTTTTAACTCACATGTCTCTGTAAATCTCATGTAATTTTAGCTTCTGATGGTTAGGTTAGCTGGGAATTGAACCTTTCTCTAATTTTAAAATTGAAAACTTTATTCTGCATGCTAATTGTATAAAACATTGATGTGGTATATAGATTCGATTGCTTCTTAAGAAGGCCCATACCTTGTCTCAACAATGGGGAAAGATTCCTATTGTACTCACTGGTGATTTCAACAGCTTACCACAGGTAGTATTTTGTGACATTGTTGCCATGCTGTTACGTCTGTGGGCAATTTTTGGATCATACTTTCTAATAATACCTCTTTCATTGTGTCAGAGTGCCCTCTATCAATTTGTAGCTTCTTCCAAGGTGAGCAATCTGGGTGCTGCCAATCTATGTTTTTGGCATATGTTTATGCATCATCAGAATAGACTTTAGACACTGCTCATATCTCCTATATCTTTTTTGAGTTCTCTCTATTGCGTTGGTTAATTTTTGGGAATGAAAATTTGTTGTAGTTGGATCTTCTCATGCACGACCGTAAGAATATTTCTGGCCAGATTGAACACTCATCATGGCAGGATCCAGTCGAGCAACAAAGGAATCTCTCAGCAAGGTTTTTATCTAGGAATAATAAAAAATGCTCTGTCCATTGTATACCCTATCCAGATTAAGTTCCAGTAAGCAAGAACACATATCAGGGGGACAAATAATATCACACACCAATGGTATTGTGTATGGCATACAAAGGAGGTATCCTCAGTCTATTCCTGATAATAAACAGCAGTGATCAATTACACCCTATTGTGTTTCCTGTTTGGGTCCATTATATTTATAATCTCCACATTCCATCCTCACGAATGGATGGCGGTTGCTGCTATGGTTTACGTTTATTAAAGACCATATACCTTTGGAGGATTTTCTGCTTACCTTATGCGGACCACTCAAAAGATGATCGTTGGAAGTTTGAGCGGTTCCCATTTTGGTGTATTACTTTGTTCTATTTATTTAACCTATTGTCACTGGTTGGTGTGCTTCAGATCTCCTTGGTATTCATATATTTGGAGTGCAGAAGAGAGAGAAATTGCAACTGGCAAGGCAGGATGTACCCATCTCCAACATCCTATAAATTTACGGAGTGCATACTCAGAAGTTGCAGTAATTTTTCTTCTGGGAACCTTTTTACTTGCTTATTTTGGCCTTTCATGCAAGCACTCTGTTATCAATGTCTGGTTCATTTCCATACAGGGAATTATGAAATCTCATCATGGTCAAGGCATTGAACTTTTATTACTTTTATCTCTTGCCTTTGTGCATATACCTGTGTGCATATATATAATACTTGTAGAACTCTTACCTCTTGCGAATTCGATTGTTTTTTAGGGAACTCATAATACAAGGGATACTTGTGGAGAACCTTTGGTATCATCCTATCACTCCAAATTTATGGGGACTGTGGATTATATCTGGTAACATTTTAAACCATCAACAACTTGTAATTGATGCTGTTTAGCATGCTCCTTATATTACAGCCAATTACTATTTTTATAGGCACTCAGAGGAACTTGTTCCTATTGGGGTTGTTGATACCTTGCCAATCAATATCCTACGAAGACGAAGAGGACTCCCGAGTGAGGTAATCTCTTCATTTATTCTGAATTCCTTGTGTACTTATACAGATGGATTAATAATGGTGAAATTGTGACTAAAATGCCTGGGAGTTCAGATGAATGTCCTAGATAAATATTATGAGATTCTTGTGGTTTGAGCCAGTGAATTGGTGGGCACCAGGGCAGATTCTTGCCTGGATATGGGAATCAGCCCCGTTTAGAGTGACCCACTTGGTTCTATTAAAGAAATGGGTGACTCACTCAAGGAACCGGATGATTCTGTCTGATAGAATTCATGGTTCGCACTCATTTTATTGCTTATTATTTTTTATATTTAAACTTTAAAATTTAAAGTATTATTTAGATTTTTTTTGGACCAGTTCCCACAGATTAGTCCAATCGGTGACCAATCCGTTCACCTTAGCTGGGTTTTAAAACACTAATTTGAAAAATTGCTTTCCTAGTTTCAAGCAACAGATTGTCTCCCTTCAGAATCAGTTAACATGCACTCTTTGTTCATGTCAGAAGAAGAAATGTCCTCGGAATATTTCTCTTCAGTTTCAATCATGTGATGTTTATGATTCCCATGCCCTATAGTGATTTAGCCATGCATGTACTCTGTTTGTGCATATCATATGTTCATTCCTTAGTCACTCTGATGTGCTGCTGTTTGTAAAATGATGGACATGAAATGAGCACTTAAATCTGGTGGCATCATGGATCAATTATGGAAGAGGTGACCCAAGCTGGATGAGAAGGGCTGCAATACTGGTTATTTTTGGTATGGAGAAAGATGGAGAGTATGGAGAAATGGTTTGGAGTGAGAAATTGTGGAGTTGATGTGGTACTGATTTCACAGAGATGCATCGAGCTGATGTATAGAAAGCTGGTTGTTTCTTCATTTCATGGAGTTGGCTGGGTAGCTGAAGCCTTAACATCAGGATGTAACTTTCAATGTGAAGAGGTTGTGAATGTTGAAGACATAACCAAATGACAGGTTTCCTACCTAAGTTGTTTGCTGGAGGATGGTGTCATTTGGTTAATTAAGTGTGCTATTTTGGTCCACTAGTCTTGGTAAAATACTTAGGGTAGAGGTGTTTGGGCCAGTTAAACTAATCTCATGAACTTGGGGTACAATGTAGTCAAAAAACAAGACAATACACCTTGAAATTTTCCAATACACTTGAGAACGCAACTTGCAAAATCAAATAACGGCATGGTCACTGTAACTATAGTGAACAATTGACTTCAAAATACACTCAAATGAGATGATACAACTCAATTACGATGCCTCGTATATAAACAAAACAATCTACACAAGGAGATCATCAAACTACACATGTATAGGGTGCTTTTGAAAATTCTGCACCACTCAAATTTACAAGGCACAATTTTACATCAATAAACTCCATAAAATTCAACAAAACATGATCTCCATTACAATAACATGCATATGCGTAGGTATGCAATGCATTATGAACATGGGAAGCCATTTGGAGCTCTCGAGTGCCCGGTTTACGGCCTTGGGTCTTAGCTATGTGCCATTGGGTTACATGCGATGACATATCTCAAAAATGGTGAAATTCATCATCTAATAAGTGGGAAGCCAAGCATCTTCTGATATACATTTAAAACATGGAAAGATTTGCAGAAATCTAAAGATCAAATCAAGTTGGAAATTCGTGGGAGAAATTGGGGCTCTTAAAGCACAAAACCGGTTCAATTAAGTTATTTGAGCTACAAAATTTTGATATAGTCTCCTCTTATGAAAACAACAATTCAAGGGATTAAAAGCAAGATCTAGATTAATGTGATCACGAAAATCTCAGAGAAATATGAGTCAAAATTACTTTAAAAATCAAAGGGAGAAGCTCATGGAAGCTAGATTAAAATATGCATAGATGATGCCTTCAACTATGTAGATCAAGAGGGATCAAAGTAGATTCAAACGATCAATGATCTAGTCATCAAAGGATGAGGATAGCTTGCTTAATTGGGGATTTACATGAAGAAGAAACAATAAGAATCAAAGAAAAATGGGGGTGATCTTATTCAATTGTTGAAGGCCTATAGACTAGATCATCCATGGCTTCAATATGAGCTTTGGATCACCATTAGTGGAGCAGTGAAGGAGCTTCAATGGAGCTTTCTCTCACCTTAACTTGAAGACAATTCTCTAGAGAGAGAAAGGAAGAGGAGAAGTGGCTTGGGCGTGCCAGTCTATGAGTGAAGAGAGAGAGCATGGCATGCCACTTTTAAAGAGAGAGTGGATGTGAACTCTTATGTGAAATGAAGGTTCAAGGTGGTATTTATAGACTTTTAACCCTTAAGTATATAGATGTTTCTAGATTGATGAATCATGGGCATCCATCTCATCATCTAATGGCTACAAAGAGATGCTTGATCCTAGCCCACCATCTACCATCATGCCATAAAGATGTATGGTAAGGATTTAAACACCTTTATCCTCCTTTAATTCACGTCAATTTCCTTTGTTATTAAGGTACCCATGCTCTTTACATTTAAATAATTCAAAGCCAAGATGGAGGGCATATACCCTTATTGTAATTTGACAAAATTCAAGCAAAAAGCAAATCTCAAAAGTTTCCTCCATTTTATAAGAGCATGTGGGGTTAATGAAATCATGCTACATAAGATAGGTAGGTAATTACACATTTACCATATACCATTACCGTTAGGCTTGTAATTACAAATTTTATACCCGTGTTAGAAAACTTCATACATGTGCACAAACCCCTTGCTTCAAGCATTAGACATGTGCTAAAATAAACTTTCCAAAGTACAATATTTCACAAAAATTCAAATTTCGATGCCCCTCACTAAATCAAATGAATAACAAAAAGATATGGGGGGTCCCTTTAGGGGGTTGACGCCACCCCCACTTCATCCTCCACGTGGGGTAACGTGGCACCCCCTAGGCCTCGACATGGACACCCATTGGCCATTTGGGTATCTCGTGTGGGTCTCGGGGACTGTCCTTGTTTGTCATTTCTTCAAAATAATTTTGAAAAACACATTTTCTTGCTAAGAAAAATCCATTTTTTTAAAAAAAATCCACAAAATCATTTTAATGATTTTCTATCAAAATAAATCATTTTTTTCATTGTTTTTAAAACAATGGCAAGGGAAATTTGGATCCTTGGAATTGAATTATGAATCATAGCACTCCTCTTGGCTAGACTTGGAATCCAAAACCACCTTCTCGGTATGTTCCAACAAACTCATGATCTATAATGTATAATCAGGTTCTCATGATTTTAGCCTACCAAATTCAAAGTATGTTCCAACAAACTCATGATCTATAATGTATAATCAGGTTCTCATGATTTTAGCCTACCAAATTCAAATTATGAGTGGCCTATCAAATTTAAAGCAACGAGTGACACTGAATCCTCAAGTATAAGTGAATTTCTGGTGCATCCCCTAGAGGACATGCACATGTGCATACCTCTAACCAGTAGATCCCTGGAAGAGCGGCTTCCCATGCATTGCAACTGTATATGCACATGCTACAAGAAGGTTCTAAAAGTCAGAGATTTAGGTCAATGCCCTCTATTGGCCCTAACCTACCCTTACATGGCTATTTTGTCATCGAGCTCGTATCACATAATCACATAAACACATACATTGTAACGCCTTGGCCCGTCACTCAGTCATGAGGCATAAACATAACAACTGACCCTGACTAAAGAGGTAACCATCACCCCTCTCAGTTCCCTTCCATGCATATAAATCCTCCTCATGACTCAATTGGGGTCCCATGACTCTTTGTCCCGGTGTGCCAAGATCCTAGAGTCTTGTTGCTCTTTTACTCCCATTGAAGAGTCCCCGCTGTCGGACTCCGATTTCGATAGTCCAAACCTATTTTTGGTCCAAATCAGTCCATTCGGGATAGATCGGAGATAACCACGGTGTAAAATACGACTTCCCATTCCTACTGATTGCGAAATAGACTCCATCAGCTGCCGGTACTTGCATTGGACTTTGAACGTCCCGTAGCTCTCTCCTTCAACCAGTCTTTCCCGGTGTTGGCATTTTCAGATCTCAAAGAGTGAGCACTGGTCTTGTAGCATTAATGGCCTTGATTTAATATTCATTTTTTTTGTGATTGATTTACTTCTTATTTGGTCATTGAAACTGAAATGGGCTCCATATAACAAGAGCCATTGAAAATATTAGAATTTAAGGCCTTGAAAGGACATAATTCCAACACAATTACCCGAATCTCTCACCTAAAGTTGTAATCTCGATTCGGCGATCCGATAAGGAATATTCGTAGAACCCTTTTTCCATGAATTCTAGAATTTTGATTCCCTATTTTAGGAATCACGATTCCAACATTTGTAGAATCCTTTTCCCAATATTTAATGATTCTCGATTCCGCTATTGGAGAATCTAGGTTCTGCTCTTATTGAAACTTGTTTCCACATATAACGATACTCGATTCAATTGTTTTTGAATCTAGATTCCTGAAAAAGTATTGCATTTCGTAAATGCAAGAAACTACAAACTAATTAAACATCGAATTTGGTTTCCTCATAGGAACTTGATCAGTTTTTCTTTGGAGTCGTAATACCACAAAATCAAATACCAATACTCTAGGTGTATAGATATGTGACTTATAAATTGGCTGATATATTTATGGATTTTGATTTGAGTTATTTGGAAACTAGCAATGTTCAATAAGTCGGACGCAGCCACCTAGGCGGGCGCCCAGACCTAAAACAGCCGGTGATTTTTTTTTTAAAGTTGGATCCCCCACACCTTCCCCCATTTATTGTATTACTATATAATAATAATTACACATTAATACTATTTTTTGGTTTGCCAATAAATTAATAATTAATGTTACATGCAAAAAGCATTTTCATAGTTATTATTTTTGGGTTCCCGATAAATTAATTACTATCACATGCAAAAAGAATTTTCCATAAATTAGTAATTAGAAATTAATACTATTTTTTTGGTTTTTTAATAAATTAATAATTAATGTTATATGCAAAAAGAATATTCGTAATTATTATTTTTTGGGTTCTCAATAAATTAATTACTATCACATGCAAAAGAATTTTCGATAAATTCGTAATTAGAAATTAATACTATTTTTTTGGTTTGCCAATAAATTAATAATTAATGTTACATGCAAAAAGCATATTCGTAATTATTATTTTTGGGTTCCCAATAAATTAATTACTATCACATGCCAAAGGAATTTTTGATAAATTAGTAATTAGATATTAATACTATTTTTTTGGTTTTTCAATAAACTAATAATTAATATTACATGCAAAAAGCATATTCGTAATTATTATTTTTGGCTTCCCAACAAATTAATTACTATCACATGCAAAAGGCATTTTTGAGAAATCAATAATTACAAATTAATATTATTTTCTTGAGGTGTAAAATAATTTTTTTTGCGCCACCCGAAATTGTTTTTCCTCCATACCTCTGCAAGCTGCCTTTTCGACCACCTAATTGGCTGCGTGACCACCTAGGCGGGAGCCTATTTCTAGCATCTTACAATAATCGCCTTAAGAACGCCTAGGCGTTTTTTCCCAAAAGCCGCTTAGGCGGTCGGGCGGCTGACTTTTTGAACATTGGAAATTGGAACTGGAGATGATTATCTTCCGTAGTTCATGTGTACTTTGAACAATATTCCGATGAATGCGTTGTTGAAGTTTTAGTTCCATAACGTTCAATGCAAAAGTCTAGAGTGTCTCCATCTTCTGTGCGTGAACCAGGCTAGCCTTCTTCTGGACCTACTCCTACGGTGTGTCCATCATCTTCTGTTGTCACACAGAAGCTTCTCGATGCAGCTCGAAGGGGCGAAAAAAGGAAGAAACTATAGCTGCCCCCCCTACGGCGCCTGTTTTCCCCTTCTCTCTGGGCACAATATTCCCATTGGTGTGTAATGAAAATCATGTCGAAGCCATTGTATCTTTTAGTTTTTAATTGCACGCAATATGTAATGTTTAACTATCATTTAATGTTAAAATCTCTATATGTCTATCCATGTATATTATTTTTTAATTCATGGGATATGTAATCTTCTACTAACTTCTAATTCTATCACTGTCTATCCATGTGTCTACTTAAAACTCGATTATAAGGGTGTTAGGAATCTCAATTGCTAGATGGGTCAAAACTTGAATCCAAGCTACTATGAATCTCGCTTCCAATCTAGGTCGAATCTCAATTCCAAACTGGTATGAAAGTTGATTCGAAATGCCTAGGAATCTCGATTTCAAAGATCATAGAGCTAGGAATCTCTATTCCATCTATGTAAGGATCTCGATTGCGTTTTAGTCGAATCTCGAATCCTATAAAATAAGAATCTCGTTTCCCAACAATTCCTCTTGTATGGACGTCAATTCTGAAAATAAAAGTCTCCTAACGAGCCACAATTCTATGATTCTGATTCCTAAAACAATTCAGATTTAGAATTGTTTCCAACAACTATGGCTTGGGATAGTGGTAGGCTTTATCTATTTGTATTTGGATGAGGTGTTGGTTTATTTGGGTCTTCTCCTGTTTTAGTTCAACTGAGGTTTGACCTCTCACTCTGTTTCCCCTTTTGATATTGACTTTGAGTTGTTTCCCAGTAAAGAATGAATATTTACTATTATCTGTGGTCAATATCATCAGCAGATGTTATGATGGTACTTGAATACCATGTGCGAAACAAAGTGGAATATTCACATTAATACTGCAAATATCTGTTCTTCTATCATAGATAAAGATATGTCCATAAACAAGATGGTACTTTTGCGTTTCTTTTTTATGTTTGTAATTATAAAAATAAGTTTCTTTGCTCTTTTATCATATGTTTTGTTTTTCGTATCTTCCCATCTGATGATATTAATGATCGGATCCCTCTGTCCAGAAGCCTCACAACATAGCAAGTTACTTGTCCAAAAGAACAAATCTAAGAAATAATAACAGCTTTTACTGGTGTGTCAAGGCACTAAGCAAGACATTGATTTTTTTCCCCAAAAATATGTAAGTTGAAGCACCTTCTATAGGAGGTGATACCAAGTATTGGGCCTCTAGTGCCGCCGTCTAATGAAGTCTTCCTGTTCCAGGTTTGGACCCACCAACCCAGACGTGGTGGATTGGGTGTGTCTGGAAAGGGAGGGGGTGGCGACCCAACTAGGTCTGGCCTTGGCCTTGAACACCCAGGTTGGATGGGATCCATGTCAGAGTCGACTCATTTTTGGAGCTGAGTCTGAACCCAGGTCAACTGGACAATCCATTGGGACTGACCCATGCAGGTCAGGTCCTGGTGGATTAGGACCTAGCCAGGTTTTGATCTAACTTATCTGGTTGGGCCAAATCCATCCCATTCACAGTGGTAGCTGCTGTTGCGTTGTTATCTAACCATGCACCTTCCTTGCCATCTATTTTCTGGAAATCTTTTTTTCCTAGTTTCTAAAGAATTGAGTTTGTAAACCTTTGATGAATTGTCTAGTTTTATGTGTACATAAGACTAGCTACTTTTCTCTTTCGAGCCCTTGTCATTAGTTATATAACTTGTCAAGTTAGAAAGGTCGAATTTTGAATTGAATTTCATTCTATGTTTAGGATTTAGTTACGTCTGTCTTTGCTAATGATATGAAGTTCCGTTTATCATATTCACCCTCTAAAAAAAAAAGGAAAAAAGGATTGGGTCTATGTTGGGGGGGGGGTGTGACCCAACGAGGTCCGAGTCTGGACCCAGGTCAACTGGACAATCCATTGGGGCTGACCCATTCAGGTCAGGCCTCGGTGGATTAGGAACTAGCCAGGTTTTGATCTACCTCCGACTTATCTGGTTGGGCCCAATCCGTCCCTTTCACAGTTGTAGCTGCTGTTACGTGGTTATCTAACGATCTATTTTCTGGAAATCTGTTTTTCCTAGTTTCTAAAGAATTGAGTTTGTAGACCTTTGACAAATTGTCTAGTTTTATGTGTACAAGGCTAGCTACTTTTCTCTTGCGAGACCTTGTCATTGGTTATATAACTTGTCAAGTTAGAAAGATTGAATTTTGATTGAATTTCATTCTATGTTTAGGTAGTTACGTCTGTCGCCGCCCCGCGCCCCCCCCCCACCCCTCCACCAAAAAAAAAACGAAAAAATATTTCTGTTTATCATTTTATCACACTGTTATCAATATTTGCTATATTTTCAAAGAGTTGATTTTGTGCTATTGCTGTTTCATGTATTTCTTGGATCTCATACTTGTTGCACTTCAAAATTCCTGTGAGATAGGTTTTGTGTTCCTCGTTAGTGGTGGTTTTCTATTCTTGGAAGTTTCTTCTCTTGACCCAAGTTTTCTTATGGTATTTGCAGAATTGCGGCAGCGATCACCTTGCTTTAGTATGTGAATTTGCTTTTGCAAATCAAGTGACCTAAATTTTTCCCTTGTTTGAAAAGTAATTCAATATTTTTCCTTGTCATTATTTATTTCCTCGAGTCTCAAGCTGATCCAAGGTCACGTTTTGTCGTGCCAATTGTTCGATAACCACTTGAATGACTGAATTCCTACGAAAATCATAATTTTAATCTTTCACATCATCTCCTATGATTCTTTCTTGTAGCAAATGGTCTGAAATGTTCTATATCATTGAATTGTCCTATTCACTGAAAGTTCTACTGAACTGCAATGGTTGATATAGATTCTCAAGTCCAGTCTGGTCAAATTCAATAGATGAAAATTTGCACTGTTGAATTCAGAATCACTTGTAGAGAGAATTCTTGCATTTTTTGTGATGCAACTCCATGTCTTCACCATCTACTTCTTCCATTTTCTTTCAGTTTGTTCAATTTCTCCTTGTTCTTTAAAATTTGGGTCCCTTTTTGGGGCTGCTGTTGCTTGGGCTTGATTGGTTTGGGTGTTTTGACAAATGCACCAAAAAACAACCACCCCAAGATCAAAGAAAGAGAAAAATGTTGTTTTGGAGGGAGGGGTGTTCATTCACTAATGCAGCGTTAACCTGTGGAGCTGCACCACAAACTGCTTGTCTTTTTAAAGCTTGAGAACCCTAAACCATTCCCAAATATTAGAAATAGTACTCCACAAGAAAAGGGCAAAAAAAGATATGGGGTACCATAAAAGCCCAAAATCTAATCAATTTTGTGCAGCCCTTGCTGCACCAGAAACATCTTCTAAATTTTGAGCCAGGTGCTGTACCCAAAAACGTCTGGTACGACCTTTTGAAAAAACTATGCTCCAGTTGAACGTAAATCAATAGATCCTACCCCACACTATAGGGATGTCATAATTGTTATAATTACTTTTGAAAAATGTTCAAACTAGGAACTGGGTTCTTATAATTTTCCTTTTTCTTGTTGAACTTTCAGATTGTTTATTGGTTGATACACATGGGAAGATTTTATATCATTGTCTTTGTGTAGATTTACATGACTTGTGGCATCACTTTCTCATCCAGTACTTTTTCATCTATTCTTCTTTCGTCGTGTTGCTAAAGCTAACCAACTTGTGGCATCACTTTCTCAGCCAGTACTTTTTCATCTTTTCTTCTTGAGAAATATGGTTCATCGTGTTGCTAAAGGTAACCAACTGGATGTATCGAGAGAGGGAGAGAGAGAGAGAGAGAGGGAGAGAGAATCCCTAACAGCTTGATGGTGATTCTTACTTTCTTGTACCACGTGTCATATACAAAGCATGATCCCCAAAAGGAAAACTATAGAACACGCCAATTTTTTTTTTTTAATGTTTAGAATGGGCCATTTACCATCACAAAGTTCACAATTACTCTTGCTGCTGACTGCATAGGGGCAGATGGGGTGTGTTATTGACTAAACTCAAAATCCAGCAAAACTTTTCTTTAATTTTGTAATACACTCTTAGCTACCTGAGTTCACATCTGACTAATGAGTGGTTGCACCTTGTACTACACGGCTTTGCAGAAAACAGTCCGATAGAAATATGGCAGATTCGAAGGGAGCTCCCTATGTTATCCCTTCAGACAAGTTAGTTTGCTTTTGCCATATGCATCTTTGAGCTCATGGACTTCTGTAATGACTCATTCTTCACCTCTCTGATGTGCCATCATATTTACCCATTCTCTAAATCCCTTCCATCAAGCTTTCCACGGTCAAGTGGTATAGCAACTCCCTGGGCATTTTCAGCGATGCCCTTTTTCTTTTGCCCCCTCAGAATCACAAATACCTAAATCCTCATGAATGTTTTTTAGCTTCGTGCCATTTCTCATTGATTAAAGCACCCGCATTAGATATCGAGAATGATGTTCAAATTAGAGTCTAATTGAGCTTTAGACAAATATCCAGTGGCTTGGGTAACTTGCTCCTTGATCTATCTCAATGGTTGGTAGACTAGAGAGGAACCAGCTTTTACTTTTAATTATGTCCTCGACTCATCCATTGAAATTTATATTGAAACCTGGGACACTGTTAACAAATCATGATCCGTTTCCTGAAATTCGTGGAACTGGTGTAGCAAGAGAGCTTCTTTTGATTTCTTCCTTTCCAAATACCCAAATGATGGCCTGCGGACACCTGTTTTACACCTATGCTCTTTTATTTAGCTAAACAGAGAGTTACAAGGGGGAGGTTGTTGCTTCTTCGCCTACAGAATGAGTTGATTGCATATTGATTTCAGTTTTCTGGATTTGCTTGTTTTTTGATCTATTTTTTTCCTGAATTGAATGATTCTAGTAACTTCCATTAAAATAAAGCAACATCAAGTATGTGATGACTACATTGATTCTTAAAACCTAGAATACTTTGGAGTTTTGAACAAGTTACGACTTCATCTGCTGGTACAACTAACATACATTTGTTATGTAAGGCATGTGCAACCATGCAAATGCTGCGTGAAGCCGTATTTCCAAATCTTTAGAAGTTTTTTAATTCAAGTTAGAGAATCACATCATCCCCTATGAGATAAGATTTTCTTATTGAATAAAATAAAGTATTATTAAATACAATAAAGTATAAATACCAGCGCTAAAAGAAAGGTATCAAGAGGCTATTTGTCAAAGAAAAAAATAAAAAAAATAAAAAAAGGTATTGAGGAGGGCTTCTCATGCTTTGGATCTTGGGTTTTCTCTATATAAGGGTCTCACAAACAATCTGTTTTAGGGTGTTCTTGCAGAGAAAGAAACTTGGGGCCGAAGGTTAGCTTTGTAGAGGGCTTTTCTGGAGTGAGAAACACTTTTTTTTAGATAAAATTAAGAGAAAAATTGAGCTTTTATTGGGATGGTGACGGTTTCTAGAGAGGAAAAAACCCTAGTTTATTACGAATGGAAATTTATGAGATGACAGGTAGGACCACGAAGATGAAATTGTATCATATTGAAGAATATTTTGGTGGTAGAGATTGTCATTCCAAGTCGGCATTGATGATTTTTAAAAGAAAAAAAGTTTATATAGAGCTGAGGCTCTAAATAATCAAGTAAGAGCCTACCTCAAAAATTTCATTAGAAGAGGTTGTTTTGATGCCCAAATATCTTCAAATTGATCATATTGACATCAAGATGCATGGACATTAGAAAAAAATGGATTTCAAATTTTGGGAATAGTGTATTTTGTAACGTATTTTTAGACCGTCAATTTTCAACAGTTTGAAGTTTTCATAGATCTGTCGATCTACAATATTTTTGAAGTTTTAAACGTTATAAATAAAGATGAAAATATATTTTAAGGCTATTGAAACTACATTTCTCGATATTATTTGAAGGTAGGCTCTAATTTGATTGTTTAAATCTTAGGCTCTATACAAACCGCACCCTTTTTAAAAATGCCATTGCATCCCGATTAAAAATCCCTTCAAATCTAGTTTCAAAGAAAAATAAAATAGAGAGTATTTAATTGATCCAATAAAAAGGAAGAAAATTCAAAAAATTATATGCCTTTCATATTATGAGACAATGAGTGGGTTAAGTCTAAATTGGAATCCCAAAAAGAGGTAACAAAAAACGATTCCAAAAAAAGAAGAAGAGAGAATGGTGAGAACAAAAAAAAAATTGAATAAATCATAAATAGAATTAAATAGTTGACAAATATTACCAAGGGACTAAAAAACAATAAGAATTAAAAATGATATATACACTTTTTATTTCGCTTAATTTTTTGATTGGAGCAACATCCAACATGTTGGGTGAGTGTAGCCATTAAAGGCCTTATGAGTGCTTCTAATAAATATTTTGATAAAATGAAACATAAACTCAGTGGGAGTATGGTCTTGTGTGGACCATATTAAGCAAGCAATGTTTGGTGATACTGGACTGAGCTTTACGAGCTAGGCCAGTCGGTTGGGAAAAACTTATGTTACTTGGACATAAAAAAACAATCTGGTAAGGATTCTAATAGGTCATCCTTTGGTGAGATGTGAGTATGCTCGGATGAGTGAGCAGAGGTTCTGTGTAACTTTTGTGTGTGATCGTGATTATCAGAGATGGGAGCTAAAGCTTCATTCGTGAGCCATCACACGTCATGTATATACGATGGTCGTTTCGGGAAGCGAATAAACTTTCAAGGTGAAGCTTATGCATATGCGAGAGACACCTCTATGTGTCATAGGAGCTGTGGTCACATCAACTCTAGGTGACATTGGTATATATCTTCGGGAGAACTTGAAATCCACAAACTGAGATTACGACCCTTTGGCTCATCAGCCAGACTTTCGTAACCCACTAATGAGCCCCTGCATGGACAATGGGCCTTGGGAGATATTGGATCGGTTTGATAAAGCAAGTGTGGGCCGTAGTCCACAGTTGAAGGTGGAGTGCCCCAGAATTTATTTATTTAATTCCTAGATATGGATCATTTTCCCATCTAACGAATTTAATTATATTTGTTTGAATAATATATGATTTTTAAAATTATTATTTGAATATTTTTAAATATATGGATATTTTATTTATCAAATTTGGATTTATAAAAACATAGATATTGATTTTAGATTGATTTAATTATTTATATTGGATTTTATGAATTTCTAAAAATCATATAATTTTTAATTAATTTATTTTTGCATGAGAGGCCCAATAAGCATACGGGGCTACTATTGCAATGTGGGTGGGGCCCATGAGTGCCACTTAGGGTGGCATGCCCCACTCTAAGGAGCTTTCCAATTTTGTTGGATCAAGTTTTGGTTTGAAGAAAAATGTTTTTGATTTTAAGAAGCTTTGAATGAATTTTTAAAAAGCATGAAAAGGCTTGTGCATAATTTTGGTAAGCACAATATTATGAATGGAAATATTTTATTTAATTTTTATTGATGGGAAAATAGTTTAAGAATGAGGGATAAATGTTTTAGCATCTTCTATAATTTTGATGGCCCATCTATGGAATAGAGGGCTCAAATCTCTCACCCCACAAGTCACCCAAGATCAATAGTTCATATTCAATATCACAAGAAGATGCAAGCCAAGGCAAACTCTAAAAAATCCAAATATTGGTCAAGCACTATAAAAATGGATTGATCTCTACCAAAATCTTTACACCTTCTCTTACACTTAATTCCCATCTCTCTCTCATATCTTACAAAGGGGGCATGCCTTACTTAGTTTATCTCTCTTTCTTAAGAAAGTTTTTTTTTTTCTCTCAAGAAAGTTTTTTTCTCTCTCAAGAACAAAGGGCAAGCCCCACTTTATCATCTTTGATATCTCTCTCATGGTGGTTCTTTCAACTCTCTCATGATCTCTCATCTCTCATTGGAGTTTTAGACAATAAGGTTGTGGTAAAAAAAAGAAGTATATCTCTCAAACTAGGTTGCTAAAAGAAGGGTTTGAGATTTGTGATAAATGAATTCGTTGTTCCATTAGAGGGTTTTGACCTAAACTTGTTTTCTTGGTTGAGATTGAAGGTTGATCATTGATCCTGCGCCATCGGATGGTGGTGAGTCAGTGTGGAGTGTAATAAGCCATGTTAAAGTAATCTCCGGCGCTCTCTTTTTGTTTCTTGTCATATTGGTTATGTTATCTTTATATTCCAAGCATAAAAATTATATATATTTTCTTTGTTTTAAAAAAATGGGTTTAGTGGCATCAAGGTTTTTAAGATCTTAAATTTGCTAGTTTTATTTTCCTTGAGGCTAAGAGTTATTGTAATAAGAATACTTGTAAGTGATATTCACCAAAAGACAAAATAAAAAAGAGAATAGTGAAAAGGGTGAAAAGAAGAAAAAATAAAATAAAAATATCTCCCGACAAAATCACATTAGTCTTTCTTTCACAATATACATGCCATTTGTTGTCTTTTCAATATTTAATGAAAACTAGATATTTAAAATCTTGCGAAAAAATTTATATTCCAAGAACTAAATTTATCAAAATGATGTTGGGCTGAAATGGTATCCTAATTGGTGAATTCAACTTTTATTTATTTACTATAGAGAACATATACCATGAGCCAATGGTGAGGATCATATGCTACAACAAATTAAATTAAAAAAAAAATTGAAAATGATATCACAACCTTTCATTTTCACGTAAATTTTAAGTTAGAGCATCATGCAACACATGCCATTGGCTTTCCAAAGTTTTATTTAAAAATAGAATTTTTAAAACCTACTTACGAATTAGAGCCCACCTCAAAAATTTTACTATAAGAAGTTGTTTTGATGCTTAAATATCCTCAAATTGTTCATCTCGACATCAAGATGTATGGACATGAACAAAAAATAGATTTCAAGTTTTGAAAATAGTACATCTTGTAATGTGTTTTTGGACCGTCAATTTTCAAGATTTTTCAAGTTTTCATAGATCCACTCGATCTACACCATTTTAAAGCTTTTAATTTTATAATTAAAAATAAAAATATATTTTAAGGCTATCATATATTTCGATACTATTTGAAGGTGGGCTCTAATTTGATTGTTTAGAGTACAAACTGTACCTATTAGTAAATAATATTAAAATTTAAATAATGTATATTTGATCCGCACGGAAGCATACGACAAACTGCCGTTTATTTTATTTTAGTTTTCCTGACCTATTGCCAATATTCTGATAGTTCCACTTTGATTGCACTTTAGTCAAGATGTAGTTAATCACCATCATTCGTTATTGGGGATGGGCGATGAATTATATTTCAGCTTTGTTTATTATTATTACTTAAATAATAAGACATTGGGATCGTTTTCAACGATAAGTTTCTCCCATGTCCTCGGACTAATGACATCTGTTCCTTATTTCTAATTACCTATTTCAAATGTCTCGATTAATTTTTTATTTTAATTTATAACTTATTTTATTTTATTTAACAATTTAAATTTGTTGAGTTTTACTGACGATACGATCTTTGATAGAATATAATAGCGGAATAAGATTCACATAGCTTGGAGATAAAGCTTTGATGACGATATTTAAATTTGTCTACCCTGGGGATTCAAACAGCAATTGCCCGATTGGATCAAAGCTTTGGGTGGGGTGAGGATGTTTTTTGAAAACCCTAAAGTCACTTGATTCCCCTTGTTTTTGAATTTCGAAAAAGATAGTATAAGAACATTGCTTTCAACTCAGAGGTCACCCTTACACTTAACCATCAAATGTGAATTCAAATGGGTAAAGGTGTGACACTAACAATGCGTCATAAAAGTTTTTTAGAACTTTATGCATTGTTCTTAGTGTGAAAATTTCAAATCTAATAGCTAGAGATGGTTATGACTTTTTTTGTACAAAAAATAAATAGTTTTATAATATACATTCCCATAATATTTAATTTTAATTATATCCTAAAATGATCCGACTTGCGGAAGTGGTCTTAATCGATCTAAATTGGTTTGGCAGGTACTATTTCATGACCTAGTTTGAAGTTTGAAACACCGAACTAGAATCAAGAACAGTTTGATGCCAAAGTATAGTGTGCACCCCAGCAAAAACCTGAACTCACCCCAAAATTTGAAAACCATTCATCGCACCATTCAATCTTGAACAAATAAAAGACAACATGCCCAAAAAATAGTCCACAAATGATGTCCATCGAATGGTTAGATATTATTGAGGGTTGGTATGATTTTTAGTTTCTAAAGTATTAATCAAATTTTTTTTTTTTTGAATTGTTCATTTGGTTAATCAAAACATTTTGTCTTGTTTCAAATGAAAAATCCTACTATATAAGTGTTTTGCCCTGCCAGAGTAAGTGTATTGCGTACTTCTGCGGGAGTACACCACACTTCACCCAAATTAATTATCATCCGTCATAAAAAAAATTAGGGTGCGGGTTGTATGGAGCCGCGGTTCTAAACAATCAAAGTAAAGCACACCTTCAAATAGTATCAGAAAAGTGTGGTTTTAATATTTAAAATCTTTTGATCGTCTTAAAATATATTTTCACTTATAATGATAAAATTTAAAGTTCAAAAAATAGAGTAGATCGAGCAGATATATGAAAACTTAAAAATCTTAAAAAATCAACAGCTCAAAAATGCATTACAAGATGCACTATTTTCAAAGCTTGAAGTCCATTTGTTTTCTCGTGTGTTCAGGCATCTTTAACTCGAGATGATCAATTTGATGATATTTGGACGTAAAAAAAAAATCTCTTTTAGTAAAAATTTTGAGGTGCTTTTTAGTTTGATTGTTTACAGCCCCGCATATATAAATTTTTTCCAAAATATTATGATCAATTTGTTTAATTTGGTGGTATGAATATGAATAAATAAGATGCTCAAGTCAAAAAGTTTGCTCTCCTTTCCCCCAAATCAGGGAAGGGCGCACTCAGCCTCAACAGACACGCCTTGGAATCTTCTCTCTCTCTCTACAGCTGAGCTGACCCATTTCTCATGCTACAAGCTTAAATGGGCGTTCATAGCAAGGCGGCATCCTCATCTTAAATAGGCTCTCTCTACTTAATGCCAAAATTCTCTCCCCCCCTCTCCCCTCTTTCATACCAGAGTTTCTCTCTCTTTTTCATCAGGGGTATAGTTGTTGAGGAGCTCTTCTCTGAGCTAAGATGTTGGCGATTTTCAGCAATGACATAGTGTCTGGACCCCAAGAGCTCATTGATGCTGGAAGTCGAACACCATCTCCGAAAACGAACGCATCCGATCTCTTGGAGACGTTCATCAGCCGTTACCCAACGGCCGTATCCGCTAGGGTCGGCACCGAGGCCTACATGTCCTACACTCATGAAAATCAGCCCTTGTTACAACCTAGGTATGAGCAAAAAAATATCAAACCACTTTTTCCTATTTCCTTTACATAATATCAAGAGCTGATGATCAAAAGTCTAAAATACATGGCATGTGACTCTCTCTCTCTCTCTCTCTCTTTCACTCTTTTGTGAAGGTCTTTTGCTATGAAAGAGGAGATGATGTGCTTATTTAAGGGGAGCTTGGAGAACTATGGGAGGTTGAGGCAAGAGTATGGGCTGGGGAAAAACGGTAACGAGGTGCTTTTGGTGATGGAGGCGTACAAAGCCCTTAGGGATAGAGCTCCATACCCTGCTACTCACATGGTCGCCCACCTTCTCGGCCAATTCGCCTTCGTTATCTTCGACAACTCCACCTCCACCGTCTTCGTCGCATCCGTCCGCTCTCTCTCGCCTCTCTTCTCACCCTCTCTATGAAAAATGAAATCGATTTAGCATTTCCTATTTTACCATCTTTAGGCACATGGATTTGTTAATTGCAGCCAATATATGAATGATCATCTTCTCTCATTCTATGGAAATGAAAAAAATGAACCTTTTGATCCCCTTAAACTGAATTATTGAAACCCCCCTCTCTCTATCTCTCTAGATATAGAGAATAATGAAACTTTAATTATTTCACCATCTCGGATAAATGAATCTCTCTTTATCATTCAGGATCAAGAGGGTAGGGTTCCATTATTTTGGGGAATAACAAAAGATGGGTATTTGGCCTTTGCTGATGATGTAGAGCTGCTCAAGGCATCTTGTGGAAAATCTCTGGCATCCTTTCCCCCAGGTGAGGAGGATTTTAGAATAAAAATTGAGAGTGGTTTATATAAGGTTGCATCTTTGATCAATCAAATTAAGACATACGTCCAAAATTTTTTTAGATGTGATTTTCGTGTAACAAATTCTTAAGATGGCTTGAGAATCCATTTTCATCTCTAACAATAAAATTTTAAACTCTAAGCGTGCTTCAAATCAAGTAAAACTATAAACATAATTTTTTTTTGAAAATTGACAGTTTAAATAATATGTTGCAAGATACACTATTTTTAGGACTCGAAAATGTTTTTTGTTTTCATATTTATACATCGGAGATGATCAAGTAAAGGTGTTTCTAACATCAAAACAATATTTTTTCATGAACTTTTGAAGTCCACTTTAATTCTACATTTCAAGATTGCAACCTTATATAAACTTTTTCCATAAAAATTTGATACGTTTATAATATTAAGGAAATGTGTTTGTTGTGTTTATGTGAAAATGGAAGGTTGTTATTTATGGAGAGCATCGGAGCTGAAGAGTTACGAGCACCCCAAGAACAAAGTAACCGCCGTTCCGGCCACAGAGGAAGAGATATGTGGTGCAACTTTCAAGGTATCATCTAATCCGAGTCGATAGGTATCATCTCATCCGCCTCGACTTAAAAATTGGTGGGACTGTCTGGTTCCCTAATATACAGAAGTTCCCTAAAAATTCAGTGGTTCCTCTAGTCAGCTAGGATCCGAAGGGTTATCGCTTGATTATTACAACGGTTACTTTCAAACTGGATATAAAATGGAAGTAAATATACTTACAACATTTTTGAACCTCACTATAAAATATCCTGCAATATATTATAGACTATTTTTAATTACAAATTTTATTTTTGGTATTTTTCTCTAAAGTTTTTATATTTGTAATGCTGTACAACGAAATTTGCAGTGAGAGAGCTTAAACTATTATGATCCCTGAGTTTTATCTTCAAGACCTACGGATTAATAATTTTTTAATGAGAAATAATGCTCTCGTTTATTTTAGAATATATCACTAAAAATTTCGCATAGTTTGGACATATCCATGTCAGTTACTACCCACCATAAAAGTTCAAATCTTGACGCCTTATTTTTATGGGATTGTATATTATGAGACTATGTATTTTAGTTACTTCTAACGATAGCGATTAGATGTAAAATTAGATGGCTTGGCGTGTGATATGTAGTTCAAGAAATTATTTTGAATTTTGTGTTTAGTTAGTGCACTCTTGTAACCAACAGATTTGAAAACCTAATGGACAAGAGCAATTGTAACCTTCTTGTATCACAAGCAACTGACCGCTTTGTATACTTTTCTTTTTATTTGTTTAGGATGCAGTTTCTATGAGGCCTAAGATGATAAAAAAAGTAAAGCCTTACATCGAAATCTTGGCTGGAAAATACTTTGAGCATAGAAAATCCCTATGCTGGCTCTAAAATTTATTTCGACCACTTATTATGAAATTTATCTTGTGTATCCACAACCACTACATAATATGTTACAATATAGGTTATTTTTATAACTTGAAATACCAATTATGTTTAAACAATTACAATGATCAAGGTCCAGATAATTGATTTAAAGGTTCTATGACGTCAGAACTATAATTTTCGGTGAGGCTTTACTTCTTTTTCCATAAGACTTATTTTAACATTTTAAACTTTATAAACTCTCTTAGTGGGAGATGTCGACTTGTGTCGTGTCTTTAGGAACAGTATAAATTACTCGTCTAAAGGCAAATTTACGGTTACTCCCTTGGTGAAATGACCTATTCAAGAGAGTTTTTTAAACTAAAATGTTGGGGGATTTGCTTTAACATCACAAGCTGCATATTTTTTAAGAAATAGATTTTAAGTATCAGAGCACTAGATTATTTGATCGTCCATAAATCCGAGTCTTTGCACTTCTTATCGACCAAGGGACAAGGCCCATGGTAACTCGTGCGAGTCCTAGTGTACTCATTTGGGCAAAAAAACATTAGAAAAAATGAAAAAGAAATAAAAATGTGGAAAAAATTAAATAAAGAAAGGAAAAGTAAAATAAAACTGAAAGCAACGTTAAAAAATCCAAAAAGCTTAAAAACGTCATAGCAAAAATGGATATAAAAAAAAAATCTATAGATGGGAAAATTTAAAATAAAAAATTATAAAAATAGGGATTATGGAAAAAAGCGCTCACCAATCATTTTAAAAAACATCTAAATTATATAAAATAACTTTGTACAACATTATATTTTTTTGACAATATTTTTATCTTTAAATTTTTTTTATGTATTACGAGTACACACAACTCGGGCATACTTGGACTTGCTCGAGTCAAAGGGCGAGTCACGGGACCATGCTTTTGCAATCCTAAAAGAACGTGCCTACTGCATTTTTTTCCCATCGATGTGTTTTCAGGCATAGTTTTTTTTTCATGAAGAGTGCATTTTGATGCTTTTTAAGTAAAAAAAAGATGTAAACCTCCCTCTCTATAATTTTAATCTCAAAGAAACTTTCCAGCCCATAAAAAAACATACGTACCCTTGACGTTTAATCCCTCATTATCTTTTTCAATGTCTCAATTATAACGCGGCCCATTTTAACCCCATCATATAAATGGAATTTGGGATGTATCTTTTAACCGACTTGTGATCTTCATGAGATGAGAGGGAGTTCAAGGGAGGTTATGTGTGTGAGAGAGAGGAAATAGTTCATGGATGAGGAAGAGAGAGGAAATAGTTAATGGGTGAGGAGGAGACAGAAAGAGCTGGAGCTTTTATAGGGTTTGGATGATTGGGTAATTACAAAAATAAAAAAAATAAAATGAAAAAGATGCAGAGGGGGTTGAACATCACTTTATTTTTAACTTTATATGGGGTCTATCGGCTTTTCCAATGACCCTTTAGGGTTTATTTGGGAATATAACAATAGAGAGGGGAGTGTATGCCTTTATCTGAGTAGATCTAGGTCAATCGCTAGATTGAATATACAACCAGCTTGTATTAGGTGTGAACCTTAAACGATCAAAGTAAGGCACACCTTTGAACCTTATCAACATATGTGATTTTTGTGTCAGAAATATTATAATGGCTTGGAAATCTATTTTCATCTTAAATTATGAAATTTTAAAGCTTAAAATACAATGTCTATTGGGTAGATATACAAATACTTGAAAATCTTAAAAACTAATGGTCAAGATAATATATTACTAGGTACACTATATTTAAGACATGAAATCTTTCTTTTTACGTATTCATATATCTTGAGGTTGAGATAATCAATTGAAGAATTTTTATTTTAAAAATATTTTTTTTGATAATTTTTCTTTTTGTTGCACCTTACCCCTATAGCATAAAGTAACAGAAAAAATTTATATAGAGCCGAGGCTCTAAACATTTAAATTAGAGCCCACCTAAAAAATTTCATCAAAAGAGGTTGTTTTAAGCCCAAATATTCTCAAATTGATCATCTCGACATCAAGATGCATAGACATGAGAAATGAATGGATTCCAAGTTTTGGAAATAGTGTATCTTGCAACGTGTTTTTGGACCGTCAATTTTCAAGATTTTCAAGTTTTTATAGATCTACTTGTTGTACACTATTTTTGAAGCTTTAAATTTTATATTTAAAGATGAAAACATATTTTAAGGCTATCACAAAGATTTCCAGTATTGAAATCATATTTCTCGATACTATTTGAAGGTGGGCTCTAATTTGATTATTTAAAGCCTCTGCTCTATACAAACCGCACCCTAAAATAAATGCCTTATATAAAATTTCTTCTTTATTATATCAATATGATTTTTTTTTTCTTTTTTTATATTTCAGGTTGAAAGACCGCACCTATGCACAAGCCTAGGAGTAGACATATGAGATAAACCAAAGCTAAGCTGAAGCCGGTCGCTATGTAAAGTGTTCATGTTTTCCTCCTCTTGCCTTTAAGTTTTTTTGATTTTTTACTTTTTAATGAATAATAATATAATAATATGGTAACTGTTGGGTGTATTAAAAAATAATTTAATAATATGGTAACTGTTGGGTGAAAGATAAGTCCCATTTCCTTGTTCTTATTTTATTTAAGAGAGAGAGCATTGGCGTGGTGAAGCCGGGGGTTCACGGGCCTCGTCACGAGTCACACACTCAACAGTCCAACTCCTTTCTTCATTATTTTTTCCCCAAAAGGTATTCTATTTCTTCGGGAGTATATTGTTCATTTACTCCCTAGGATAAATTTACCACAAATTTTGGGGATATACTTTCTTTAACACAACAATTAATCTTAATAAAAAACATTTTCTAATAATTATATCTTTTAAGCATTCGAAAGAAAATAATGTCTCAGGATTAATAGAAACTCTACGATTTTTAGAAGGCGAGAAAATTCAAATTTTTTATTTTAAGACTAGTGAGGTTCCTAAAATATCAAATTGAAAAACAATTTTCCCATGTGACCGAGGGAGTAAAAGAATATTATGCTCCCATAGGAGCATAGTATACGCCATCTTTGCTTTTTTTTTTAGTATAAATTCCTTAATACCTTGAAAGCGATTTTGACATGTGCTAAGTATTCACAACCAGAATTAGTCTGAGATGGATGAGCCTGGATATTGTAAACATACGGGTTTGGTAATAAATATATTTTTTAAATATAATTTGATTTTAAGTTTTAGAGAATATATAATTTTTAACATGACCATCATAATGTGAAAAAAAAATAAAAAATAAAAAAATAATTATATTAAAAAAATAAAAATCGACCGTTAGTTCCGTGAATAAAAGCATCAACAATTTAGTAATGTCACATCATAAATATTATAAGAGTAAAGATATGAGATTTAAAGTGAAAATGTAGCATCACGAGACAGAGCAGTTCCCCTAGAGCTAGCAGCTATATACATTGAACATTGAGTTGTGTGTTCGATGGTCAGATATTATTTTAGGGAAAATATTAGTAAGATATCAAATCAGCTCAAAAGATTATTCTTAAAAGCCAAATGGATTATCTTAACGTGGAAAGCATGGAAAAGTGCTAGGGTGAGGTTTATACAAGTTTGACGCCATAAACCAGTAAAATAAGACGCACCTCAAAATGGCGTAAAAAAAAAGTTGTTTAAGTGTCAGAAATTTTTGTGATAGTATGAAAATCTATTTTAATCTCTAGTTATAAAATTTATAGTTTCTAAAATGATATAAATCTAGTAGATCTATGAACAATTGAAAATCAGGCAAATTGACTTTTTAGATAATACATTACAAGATACACTAGTTTGAGCACTTGAAATCCTATTTTTCTTTTATGCCCATGTATCTTGAGATCGAGGTGATCAATTGAACAAAACGACACGGTTTGGTAAGTTTTTGAGGTGGGCCATACTTCTATAATATATTAAACTTTTTCCAAAGTGGTGTTATATGCGTGAGGAGATGGAAAATTACAATGGACTCCCTAAGGCATCACAAATCCATTTTTAAGTTAAATGTAGAGTAGTGGTCTCTCAAAAAAATAAAAGTACAAATCAACAATTTAAATATTTTCTCAAAAATTATTATTTTAATATCTAAAATTAATTTACGTTATATATTAATGATCTCCATCTTAAAGATTATACATACCTAAAAAATTAACTATAAAATCCATCTCAAAAGTAGATAATTAAGAAGCGGACCACACATCTACATAAGTTCTAGAACTTATAGAAACCATGTTTTGCAATAATACTGCTTAAATAAAGTCACAATTATTTTCAGCCATCAGATGTGAAATCGATGTGAAATTTGATGCTTGAGGGTATATATCACTGACTAGGCATAAAGTTTAATAGATGCTTTTTTGAGCTTTATGAACACATTTCAAGTTCTTAAATTTCACATACTAAGAGTGATTGTAATTACAATGGATTCTCTCTCATTGGATAGGGTTCTCTTCTTTCTTCTCGCTCATATTGAATGGGGTTTTCTTCTTTTCTCTCTCTCTCAAACAGACGAATTCGCTGCGTATATGATTGGTGCCAATTTAATATGGAATATGTATTCTCTAATGTGGCCATTGCAAGAAATTTAACCTCAGCTTTCGAGGTTATGGCTACTAAAAACTGGAGAATAAAAATTATCAGTTTGCCTAAAACAAAACTCACTTGACTTTGTAGTGATAACCATTATTTTATCCATTACCCTTTGAATTTTTTACGGGTTTGAACTCAATTACCTTCTTTCCAATTAATGTTTGTCTCATTTCCTACATGCCCCCATCACCACTTGAATAGGCAAGCTCTCAAAGTTTTTAGAAAGTTTTGTTTAAAAGGAGAGAGAGAGAGAGAGAGAGAGAGAGAAGTGATCCGAGCAGGAAAGAAATACAAGGAAATTGGATGTCATTTGACCATGGACCTACTCCCGAATAAGTGTGTTTTTTTTATCTTTCCATGGAATGAGTTGCATCGGTCCAGTAGATTTTACCTACTGCCCAATAGTAGTATTTTTATATATTTTCTTCTTATAGATCAAGGAGGTGCATTTTAAACTTTTTTTTTTTATTATGAAATGAATGTGATAGTTAACTAACACTCAGATATGAAACAGATTCTCAGTATACCCATTTTAAGTAAGAAAAAAGTTTATATAAAGTTGCAACTTTAAAATGTAGAATTACAGATGCATCTTAAAAATTCATTGGAAAATGTTGTTTTAATGTTGAAAAACACTCTAATTGATCATCTCGATAATGAGATGTATGAATATGAAAAAAAACGATTTCGAGTCCTAAAAATAGTGCATCTTCGCAACACATTATATAGACTGTCTATTTTCAAGATTTTCATATGTTTGTAGATCTACTTAACTTTAACTATTTTTGGAGTTTAAAATTTTATAATTAGATACGAAAATAGATTTTGAGAAATTTCTAAGAATTTTTTACACCAAAATTACATGTTGTGATAAAATTTGAGCGTGCACCTTAATTGGATTGTTGTTGCAACCTCATAGAAACCACACCTTTTGAGTAAAATGGTGAAAACCTATACTGTAATGCCCCAAACGTTTTTTTAACATAAAAAAAAAGCTTTTTAAGAAAATTTTTCTTTTCAAAAAAATTATTTTAAGGCCAAAGTGGACTGAAACAACAGATCATGTATCGCCAATCCACCGATCGAGACTGGTTACCTTCCCTATTCGTTCGGTCCATCCCAGGTCTCAAACATTGGTTGAGAGTAAGGAAACATTTCATGTTAATATCTCATGTACCATATATTAACATCATTTGGCTCAAGTCAAAATGGGCGGAGTTCAGGCTTAGGGACCTTGAATTAGTTTTTCCTTTTTTCGAGTTATGCTTGTTTCAATGTATTAAACCGCAACATAGAAAGATAATATAGTCTATTGCTTGAATTATATGACAAGAAAAATGGCAGTTATACCTCGACTTATCTAGGCTTAAGAACCAAGATCTTACTTTTTCTCATCGGAGATCTTTATTTTGGGTTCCTAAGCATGAGCAGAGAAGAATGATACCATTTTTGTTTGCTAACATTAAGTTCCCAAGGCAAATGCTCTACTTGTTCAAGGTTTTGAATCCTAGACAGGCTAATTCAAGCAATTTAAACAAATTTTATGAGAGTTGCTTGACTGAAAGGAATAATATAAAGTAACTACACTAATGTTGGAAGGAACAATGTACTTTAATACCATTTAACAGTGGTGTAAATAAGCACAAAACTGGAGAGATCCCTTCAAATTTGAGCCAAATGGTTAAAATTTTGTGAATCACTAGAGAATCCGGTTCGGTCAAATTACAAACCTAAAATAGAACCAAATCTCAGTAGATTTGACCCTTTTCTAGATCTACCGACAGCCCCGGCTGAATTTTCACACCAAATTTAAATCTTTAAAAGAAAAATCTAAAGAAAAACTCGAAAATCAAGAAATTAACATAAAATAAAAATAAATCAAAATATACAAAAAAAAAGGAAGAGATCCCTTATCTGAGGAACCTGGAGTTGTGGTCTTTATTAAGGCCGTGGATGATTTACACATTTGGCTCCTTCTCTTTCTTTCTCGAAGATTTGAATTTAAAGATTTTTTGGACTAGGTGATATTATTCCTAAGATTTTGATTTTTAGATATTTTTAGGGAATTTTTGAAGAGATTTTTGCTTAGGGTTCATAGCTTAGGGTTTTTCTAGGTTTTCCTAGATCTATTGTTTTCTCTAGACTAAGGAATTTTTTTAGGGATTTTTCTAATTTTATAGGATTTTTCTTAAATTTCTAGGAAATTTGGGATTTTCTACAGATTTTTTAATGTTTTTCTATGTGGGTTCAGAGGGTTTGTATAAGCTTGAGTTCTAGGCATTTTTTAAAGAATATTTTTAAGAATATTTTTTTAATTTCCTGAGGCTTCACTCGTCAAAATATGTTTAAGAACCGACCTAGAGAACTCCAAAAGCTTTCAAAAGGTTCCAAAAGACTATGGGATTTTCTGGATAAGTTTTAAATTCTGAAAATTTATGCAAGTCGCCCTAAGTCACGCTGCCGAACACGATACATCATGCAGGATCAAAGTGAAATTTTTTGAAATAAATGTGTTCGGGCCATACTTTTCAAACAGTAAGTCAGATTTGAGCAATTTTTGGGCTGTTAGAAAGCTTGTGACCTCCTCTATAATTAAAATCATATTTGGTCCATTTTGAGTGAGTTTAAAGGGGTTTGCAAGGCTGGAACTTTAGGGTGTCGGTTTTCAAGTTTTTGGGTATCAAATAGGTGTTTAGGCTAGTTTTTTATGTTTGTTAAGCTCAAGGGTATCTAGGATTATTAGTTTGAGGTATTACGTAGGTGTATAGTCTAAGTTTTAGGTCTAAGAAGTGACTAGGGTACATGGTTGAAGGTTTTGGGTACTTCGTTGCCAAAATTTCAGGGGTATTTACAATAATATTCAAAGGAGAGAGAGAGGAAAAGAGATATCCCAATATGAAAGAGGGCAAATAAAAAAAAGAGAAACCCAATCTAAAAGAGTACAAGAGATAAAGAAGAGAGACAAAAAGAAGAAAAACCCAATCCAATATTTGGACTACTCTTTTAATTTAACTTTAAAAGAGAAAAGTAAATGAGATAAATTTGAGCATTTATTTCCACATGGCGGATGTGGGAACGACATTAGGAGCCAAGCAT